ATCGCTATAACCCTGTCACACAATGTATAATACTCAGTATAAAAAATGTTAAGATTAAATCACTTTTTCATGACAGATTTCGGTTTCTAATTCCAAGTTCTACAAGAAAATTTATTAGGTTGCTTAAAAATTGACTTTACTCACAGAGAATTATGGAAAAAATTATGAAGTTTCGGAAAAACGTCTAGTTTGACTTTCATGTTCAACATCATTGGATCGGAAGAACGATCCAGGACAATTTTTCTGCTATTTTACATTATTTCTGATTTAGAATACCGTTAGATTCATTTCGTAATCACTATATGTTCGGAAGTTATTTGATTTTGTTAAAAAAAATATAAATAGCACACCGTGCATCGCCTATGCGAGAGTGAGCAAGACCGATCAATGCAATGCAAAGGCGAGCTGGATTGAACAAGGATAACGAGACACTTTACAGGTACATGTACAATAGTATCGCAATAGGCTAACTCTATGTTCAAAACAAGTGCTTGTTGAATTAAATGACCGGGATTTAGAAGAATATCGCGAACTATATCATAAGGTAGATCTGCGCTGCGAATCGACCATACCTGATAGTGTGCATAAGATATGGCTCATGTTATGTCTATGTAAATAAATGTAATCATAATGTAATTTACATTTACAATCGATGATGATAAACGTATGAAATAAGTGATACTATAAGAAATAAATCTATAAATGACATATGTGTATGATAAGTCATACTGGTACATGTAAATTGATTGTAAATAGCGTATTCGAGCATACTGACATCAATTCGACGAATTCAAATAAAAATAGGATGTCACCGGAGACGTAGGCCAAGAAAAGGGTAGATTCCTAGAATCAATTTCCATCCATATTACCGACTTGCTCTAAGGAGTAGCCTTAAATGAAAAATTAAATATGTTAATAAATCGAGCAAGGGGTAAAATTAAATAGTTTAACGTCCAATTGGCAGTAATTACAAAGTACACCTGATATTAGAGTTAACAATTTTGACCAGTGACGACTTTTCATGGTTACAGAGTTCAAAATAGTACAGTCGTTTCGTTTTCTCAGAGCCATACTGTTCGTGGTATTTGCGCTTCTGATGTACGGCATATGCGTCCCGAGTTTTTCTTACACTTACGGAGTTTCCAAAGGAAAACTATAATGAGGTCGTAAATTTCCTGGACTGGTGCATGCAGGCTGCCGATCGTCCATAGTTTGGGAAAAACCCAAAACTGCTCATGAGCCGCGTTGGGCCATAAATAAAAAACAGGGATGGCGTGCTCGACGTAGGTAGTCGACAGTGAAACCGCGCGGATCTTTTTCCTATTTTTCTTTTGTTTCTTGCCTACTGAAACTATCAGTTAATTTCAGTGGACTTATTTGTTGTTATCAGTTTTTGTTGTTTCTTCGGTGACTTGATCGGTAGTGTGTTCGGACGGTATGGGTACCTACAGTAAGACTATCTGTGTGTGTGTGTGTGTGCGCGCTACTGCGTGCTACAGTGCACCAACTGCGGAGCGGCTCACGATCAGTGACGCTGTCGAGGACTAAAGACAGGGTAACTTGCTGCCTAAGTTAAGGATCGACGCGATCTTCTGGGGTGTCTCCAACCGCACGGCTGCCTACCTGTACTCTCAGGCTTTGACGTAGTGAGAGCTGCCCCCATTTTCGAGATGTCGAGGTTGCGTCGTGTCTTTTACACCAAGGATACTCTCCTCAATCGAGTATTATATCTTTGTCGATCTGATAAGCAAGCAACTTTATGAATGGCCATTCATCACGTAATATAAGGTTTGTGCAGGCTATTCGAGCCCATATTGTTTAGTCGATGTAAGGATTATTGTGATTCTAGTCACATATGTGCTGTAAGCTTAGTTTTTTACTTGATTTCGCAATCCTTACTTTTCTTCCACTTATGACTGGAGTTTTTTATGCCGACTAGTGCGCATTGCTCTTTTTTTGTATTTTATTTTAGAATAAAACGTTGGTATTACTGCAATAGAGCTTGAGTTATTCCTTTACTTTTACCGGTAATCTCGTTCCTTAACGTTTGCTTTCGGCACATAGAAATAATAACACGTATATTACTCTTTCTTGTCTAAGTAAGTATTAGTGTGTCCAGTCTGCACTATTAATATTCAATGCATACGTTACTTATCATGCCATTCTTCTTGACAGAAGCCTACAGTATTAGAGAGACAAATTCTAACTATACAGTAACATCTAGTTAGTGAGATAGCCGGTTTTGACCTTCGATAATAATCAACCGTCATTTTCTGTCATGCGTTCGGGAGGCGTGTATATCCGCTAATCGCCGAATTGTAAAATATGTGAATCCATCGCGTGAACCTCTCGCCATTTTGAATAGGCATACTGTCCAGTATATTTCAACTGAAATAAATTCTAGAAGATTAATTGAATCTTTCCTGTGACCCCAGCCGTAACCTATCCTTTACCGCTACCTTAATTTTAGTCATGATCTTCATAATTTCAAACACTGACCTTGGATTTATTCAAGAATTAAAGGATTACCCGCCATTTTCTAAATAGTCTAGAATGTCAGAACAACTTGTTTGTGATCGGAGTTAAAGTAAAAATATAAAGGTTAATTAGTTTCCGCTTTCATTAAGATCCGCTCATACTATGCCCTGAAAGAAGAGTTGTCAACAACAGCTAAATACAGTCTGACTTTATTGCTGGACGAGAGGAGTAAGGATGAAGGATGGGAAATAGCTGAAAGTCATTGTGACCAACGTTCAATGCGAAACTCTTCGAAAACTGAGTTCGACATTTTTGTGTATCGATTTGAACCAGACAGCAGTGTCCGAGTGACTCTTCTTTAGACTCGATAATTCCAGGTTTCTCGACGCTCGCCCTCAGCTCGAAGGCACCAATAAGTCCATCGGAATTTCTAAAATATACTTTTCTAAAAGGCTAGCCGAGTCACTCACCAAAAGAAAACACTCGATATCTGACTTGTAGAACAGCTAAATTTACTTTACTGAAGCTATGGAAGAAAAGATAGTATTTCTTACCTTTCGGCTCGTACCATCTCACGATTCGGTTAGCATAATACACGTCTACCTATTCACTTCTACTCTCACTTAAGCATTTTTTAGCACATTCCAGACTATGACGATCAGCTTATCAGCGGTAAAATAAAAAATTCTTATGTTTTCACTCCTGATATTTGATGATTTTATTTTATTAAATTATCAGCGGTAAGTTTCGGATTTTCTTGAAACTTAGTTTAAGTGTTGCCTATATGGTAGTTTACTTAAGTATTGATTATTAGATCATTATAAGAATTATATCAAAAGGTATAAACAATTGCAAATTTTTGATGAAAATTTTCAAAAATTTATATGTTTGCAACTATTTAAGTTAGGAATTTTTTTTAATTACGCATAAAGGATGTACTTTGAAGATATTAAGCAAATGATACTTTAATATTAATTTTTCAAAAAGTTATTAACATTTCTTTTAAACAATTGGCCATATCTCAAAAACTATTATTTTTATTTTGACAATTCTTTTTTTTATTGAATTCCTTGACATTTTTTCTTTAAGAATCTGTTTTAAAATTCATCGAGGGATTATTAGATGCGATACAGTAAGCGATAATATATAAAAAAAATATATAATAATAGACGCTCACAGGTCCTACGACGCCGATAAGTCGGTAAGTTCAGTGATAGTGCCGACCTAGCGCCAAAGTGCGGCCGAGCAAACGTACATATACAAAAAGGCAATCACTTCTATCACGTCATCAGATTAGTACACCAACTTATGAAGACCAAGGAGTTACAATGAGAGAGAAAGCGTATCCGCTCAATCCGTGAAGTCGCGACAATACGAGTAGAAGCAGGAGCTACATGAGCGAAGTTGCTTAACGCTATCAGCGCGAATAACAGAAGATGATGGTGTTGTACCCGAACGAGAGCTGGCGTGAGAGAGGAAAATAAAGGCTCGTAAGAATAACACACCGGGATCCTATGTCGCTGATGAAGGTCCGCCTTCGACGGAAACGTGATCTGGTCAACAACGGCATCCGGGAAATGACAACGGTGGGCCTGTCTTTGTCAACCGTCCTCATCCTGATGGCTGAAGAATGGAAACGATCTGTGGTTAGCCGCAAGCGTTAGCCAAGTAACTCCTAAGGCAAGCCTCACTTTCAACAGCCGTCGGGTATTGACCGTAGACGTCGCCCAAGCAGCTCTGTTCGCCCTCACGTACACACTTTTTTCCACTCCTCAGTTCAGCCTTATCTCTCTCTTAGATGACCTCTTTCTACCGCTGTTGCTAGACGGGCTCTCTTTTTCTCCATTCTTTTTCCGTACCGCAGACTTCCAAAATCGTAGCGTATGTCGCGCTCTTCCCCCCCCCCCTTCTAATCGCTAATTACTCTCTCACTCTCTTTTCCACTCTCGTTCTTTGGCGGCTCACTCCTCTGGTCACATCCTCCAGGCTGCTCCCTCTCCAGGCTCTGCAGCGAAACAAGCGTGAATGTTATGTTATCATAGCCATGCTCGGTCGCCGCATCCGTTCGAGAATGCCGCACACAGGGTCAGTGAATATCGCTGTTAACCCAGTTAAAAGTACAATTTAAGTTTGACTTACTATTAATTTAACAAAAATAACCTATTCAATATTAAGAATATAATAATGAAATGATAATAATACTTTCTCTACTTTTCATCAAGCTTGATGTGAGATTTTCAAATTTTCGGCCGCATTAAAAATATTTTACATTTACATATATATCAAAATTATGTAATGGATATGAATTAATCATTTCATTTCTTTTAAGTTATTTATGAAATATTTTTATTTTACATTAGGAAAACCGTTAAGGTCTTTACAATTAAGTCATATTTTATTTTTTTATTAGAAGCATTCTACTCCAAGTTTCTTATGATATTATTTCAAATCAATTGAATTATTCTATTAAAAAATTCTTAAATATTCAAATTTAAATGTTCAAATAAGTATATTGAATTCAGGGTTCCAGATATTGGAGATACATTGACAAGATAATCGATGGAGACTACCCGAAAGACATCAGTGAAGGTTTCACAGGAATACCTGACAATATTGATGCCGCTTCAATATGGACTGGCAATGGCAAAATTTACTTTTTTAAAGGCACCAAGTTTTGGAAATTTGATCCATCACTGAAACCACCAGTCAAAAGTACTTACCCTAAATTAATTTCAATCTGGAAAGGAATTCCAGATAATATAGATGCATTGCACTCTCACAATGGTTATACATACTTTTTTAAAGACAAAGAATATTATAGATTTAATGATAGAACTTTTTCTGTAAGTATTTTATACCGAATACTTTTGAAGAACATAGCCATAAATTTTTTAATGTTACGTTGCTGTAGCATAAATGTAAATGTAATCGATCTCACGTAGTTTACATTAGTTTTCTCGTGGTATGGATACTTGAGAAAGCCTATGGCTACTTACATCAAACTCACGGTGTATTTATTTAAATTAATAATTATTGTACAAATTAAATTCTAGTTAATATAAGTTATTATTTCTTCATTATTAACCAGCATTTATAATGCAATATTATGTTCTATATCGAGCGCTCTCATTAAGTACTAGTTTTGAACACGAGAGAGCCACGAAGGAACAAATGAGCAGGCTTATTATAGATTGAGAGAAACCCGAGGGGAGAGAAGTGAGCTGGCACGAATGAGCAGTATAGACTGAACGACAAACAGTGAGCCGCACGATTTGTCCATTATCTTCCGCTTTCATTAGTAAGAAGCCTGATTATTTGACCGCATCTGTTAAGCTACTCATGCTTAAACAGTAACTTTGCTATGCTTCTTTATTAGATTTACTAGCGTCATTCTTAAATTCTTTGAACCAAAATTCAGAAATTGAAGTTCAAATACCATCCATCGTATTCAACAGATTTGATCTCTAGTGACTTTTTTTTATTTTCATACCTTTAAAAAAGTGGCTTACTGAACAGCGAATGTGAAGATTATGACACAATTAAATGGCTATTTTGAGGAATTTCTTAAATCATATTTTACTGATAATTATTTACTTAAAAAAACTCAAATAATATCTGAAAATGCATTAAACTCAAAGGAGATTATACCGAAAAATAAAAACAAATTTAGCAAAAAAATTGGTTATTCTATGTTTTCTAAAAAAATGTTGATCCACCCTCATATGTTTTAAATTATTTTACATGTTTATTATCATATTTTTCACGTTATTTATATTTCTTCTAACCAGCACTGCTGTATTCAAAAATTTTTTTCATTTTATGTTTTATCATTCACAGTCACTTTATCGTTTTTAAATAGAAAAGTTGTCAATTATTCTATTTTTGGATTACAATTTTTTTTATACGTTTTATTCATATTTATAGCAGTTTATACGTTTTATTCAAATTCATAAATAGATTCATTAGTAACAGATTTCTCGAATAGATTATCACTATCGTTGTATTTTAATAGTAGATTTAAATGTAGTATCTAGCGGTTGCATTGTAGTATTAAATTCATTCGCAGCACTATCAAAGTAACGAAATCTATTAAAACTGCATACTGCTCCTGAATTATATACTTTTTCAAACGTGTTTCTATTCTTTTTTATATACTTTTCAATCGCGAGAGTATAAGTTTTCTCACTAATTGACTCTATAAGCATGTTCAATTGATCAACAATCGGTTTGAATGTTCCATTTAAAGTTTTTCCTAAATCTGTTTTTCCTCTTTTTGAATGCTTAATATTCCTGTCTAATTGGGCAATGATATAATTGCTAAAGTATTATCTTTTCTCATTCAAAATCACCCATGTCGTTAACAGTTGTAATGAAAGAGAAATAACACTCGTTCACCCAGTCTACAATATTTATAGCAAATGAATCAAGTCCTTTATAATAAAAAATCTATGATTATGATTTTTTCAGTACTTTGAACAAATTTCTTTAATCTGTACAAAGGCTTGATTGAGTTAACATGATTGAGTTAACATGATTGCTTGTGCGATTTTCCGGATTGCTAACAGATCCACTTCAATGTTTGACTCGTGTCGCTAATGCCACACTAAGCACTGTTTCCGCCAAGCCGAGTTCTGCTTTCGTCTGACGTACTGTCTTCTACAACCTTGAGCTGAGCGCATCCAGCTCGTTTACCTATACACAGCAGCCTTTGATAGCAAAATAAAGCAGCAGACAGCCACAGCATTATGTGGCTCAAACATGAGCCCTTCTCATTATCAAGTTACCTCATATTTTCAGTGGACCTTCGAGCTAGACACAGAGAGATGAGCAGCAATGACGGAAAACATGAGCCAGGTAAGTATATTTACTTAAAAGTACTGAGCTCTTTCATAGAGATGAGCTACGGCAGGGCATAACCCATCATTACGTCAGGTATGAGACCAACCAAGATTAAATAAACCGCGCATCTCGGTGATAAAGGGACGCTGCCTCAAGCAAGATGATAGAGGTTTAGCACCGGCAACAAGGCCCTCAAATTCCTTCGTGGATGTGGAAAAATAAGACACAAGAGCGCTCTTGACAAATGTACGAGGGTGGTCCGATAAGTACTTAGCCTCACCGCTCGATGGCGCCACTCTCGCAAAAGAAATATTCTATCACGTAGTACAATCTTCTCGATGGTTACTGTCAAGATTTCAGCCGGATCGGAGTTGTAGTTTATTTTTGAGAGCGTGAGAAAGCAAGTGTGTCCGTTGATTTTTGAAAAATGGAAAAAGAGCAGTATCGGTCGGTGATTCGATTCTTGTTTTTGGAAGGGAAATCGCGCAGCGAAATCAAAAAGGGCTTGGATGCTGTGTATGGTGACTCTTCTCCTTCGATGGCCACCGTCAAAAATTGGTTTAACGAGTTTCGACGTGGTCGCACGTTGATTTTTGAAGAGCCACGTCCAGGTGCTCCGAAAAAGGCTACCACGGAGGATAACGTGACAAAAATTCACGATCTCATATTGGCAGATCGACGACTGAAGGTGCGTGAGATAGCTAAGATCGTAAGCATCTCAAAAGACCGCGTGGGTCATGTCCTGCATGAAATTTTGGGCATGAGAAAGCTGTCGGCGCGATGGGTGCCGCGTTTGCTCACTCCGGACAACAAGCGCAACCGTGAGACAACTTCAGAGCAATGTCTGGCGATGTTTAAGCGCAATCCGAAGGAGTTTCTGCGTCGTTTCGTGACAGTCGACGAAACATGGATCCACTGGTATACACCAGAGACCAAGGAACAGTCGAAACAGTGGACTTTACCCGGCGAAAAAGCTCCGAAGAAGGCGAAGACTGCCCCATCGGTCGGAAAGGTGATGGCCACCGTTTTCTGGGATTCACAAGGTGTGATCTACATCGACTATCTGGAAAGGGGCAAAGCGGTCACAGGGCTGTACTATGCCGAATTATTGGGCAGATTCGACGTCGAATTGCAAAAAAAACGGCCCCATTTAGCGAAGAAAAATGTGCTCTTCTACCACGACAAAGCACCGGCTCACACATCCGCCGTCGCCATGGCCAAATTGGTCGAATTAGGCTACGAACTGCTGCCCTATCTACCGTATTCTCCAGATTTAGCCCCGTGCGACTTCTTTTTGTTTTCAAACTTGAAAAAGTCACTCGCCAGGCAGAAATTTGAGTCGAATGAGGAGGTAATCGCTGCCACGGAAGCCTACTTTTCAGACCTCGAGGAAACGTATTTTTCAGACTGGTTAAAGAAGTTGGAACATCGCTGGGCCAAGTGTATCGAACTAAAAGGAGATTATGTTGAAAAATAAAACGCCACTTTTCCAAAATTTTTGTTTTTCTTTTGTAGGCTAAGTACTTATCAGACCACCCTCGTACTTCTAGCCGTTACCGACACTTGACAAAGTAACTCGACAAAAAGAAAACTGCCAACCAGCGTCTCGAGTGAGAGGACCATTGAAGGGCTCAGCGTCTTGAGTGAGGAAACTATTTAGGGGCTCAGTGTTTCGAACGAGAAAACTGTTGAGAGAATGGCTACGACAGCAACGTTTGGCTTAACATTGGTCGCACCAGGGATTGCTTCGACGACGGCTCTCGCTTGATAGTCATTGGATTCACGGGACCGCGCACGAGATTAGGGGCTAAGGTGGCTGGATAACTGAGGATTGCTGACAGTGCCAGATACACGTTAACTGTACTTCCGATGGCCGTCAGCGTTCGGCTTGGACTTAACTATACAGTGCTGAGATCCAGCCACCTGACGCTGGATACTAACACTGAATCCGGTGGGTGATTCAAGCTACGTACTAAGCTAGAGTTTGATCGATATTCTTTGATGCCGCTTAGAGTTACACCCATCACGACTCATGTAGCAACTCAAGCATCTTCCGGCTTCCAAAGGAACCTGGCGGTTACGTAAGCAGCCCTGCTCAACATCATCTGGTGGATGGCACGGATCATCGCTGAAATTAACGAGGATCAATGAAATATTAGACTCGTTAGGAGCCGGCTAAGGCTTTTTGAGGGCTATTGTCAGAATTTCTTATGCAAATATATGCGATTTCTGATCGTCGACACCCCGGAGGCAGTTGCTTATGCTGAAGGGCCTGGCTACAAAGAAGTCAAGGACTGCTACTATACCAGCGTGCAAAACACATTTTATCATGCAGAACATGCCGAATGGCCTGCCTCAGAGAATAACGCTGTCTCGTTGATGCGTCCGCCTCGCTTGGAAATTTCTCGATTCAACGGAAAGAGGGAGAACTAGAAAGCTTTTTGTCACTTGTTTTTGGACCTCGTTTACAACAAAAAGAAATTGTTTAACGCCACGAAGATACTCTACCAGATGACAAACGTCGATAATGATACAAAGAGAGGGTTGCGGTAATACTGCACCATAACCACCGACTACTACGAGCCTATTTGCAAACCAAGGGCTACATGGACGCACTCGCGCAGCTATCTTCTCGCAATATCGAATCCGCCACCTGCTTCCAAACGCTTCTTTTACATGATTAAATGTCATCGCCATCAGTTGCTTGTACTCAAGAAACCAGTTGACTAGACCGACTGGCTCATTTTTCTTGTCCGCAAGATCATAAACCACGTCATGAGTAAAGTCTAGAAGGATAAGTCCGAGGAGAAATCTCACGTGAACGGCAAGGTACAGCCAACATCTAAGAAGCTCGTCAACTGTCTATATCATTTCTGAAGGCTATCAAAATTAACAGCGATCACTACCCTGAGCACGCTAACCTCGGAGCAAAGGCCACATTCATACCCCAACCACGAAAACTATGCAAACTTATGTCAGTGCCCGACGAGAAAACGGCTGTTCA